AAATACCATCATGTTATCACTTGTCCTACTTTCCTTTATCTTTCTCCTGATTGGATAGCCATTCTCCTCTTCTGAAAACAAAAAGTGAAAATGAAAGAATGAATGACGTATCCTTCCTATCTACAAACTGTGTTGATAGGAGAATTAGCTACTGTGTCCATACGAAATCTCATTGGAGAAAGTGGTCCACAGGAATTCTTGACGGGGAGATGGTCCATAAATCGAACCGTTCACATTCCTGTGACAGTCCACAGGTTGGTCCAGATGAACTCTTGAGTTCCTGCACCATCCTAAGCCAAAAAAGTGCTTAATCCTGGTTTCTTCAATAAACCACATTTGCCTGAGTTTGCTAAGTTCACACAACAGGGTGAGCTGTCTTCTAATTAATAGCTTCTCCTTCTCCTCCTCCTCCTTGCTGGGTTTTTACACCGCTTTAAGCCAAGCCAAATTGCAAGGTGTGGTGGATTCATACAACCAGGTGAGCCAAGACAAGCCAAATGGCTTGGTTGATATGAGAAGCCCAGCCAATTCAAAGAGCCCAATGGTAGGATTCCAACTAGCAAACTCGTTACATTGAGTTCACTGGCCCATCTTCTCTCTGTTCAGAAGCCAAATACAACCAGGTCTGACTAAGGCTCGGATGCGAGACCACAAGGAAACCACCAAGCTGGGAAATCAAACCCACATCCTAGACGAAGGCAGTGGCAACCGCCTTCTGTGACACAGCCGCAAAACCTGCCGTGATGCACGTACGAAGTCATCAGAAGTGGTTCTTCACTGAAAAAAAAGAGACTGTCGCTTCCTTGGTGCGATTTCAAAATATTGTTGCTTTAAAAATAGAAAATCTTCCCTGAACACTTTGCATTGCTGTTCTCTGCTCCTGGTCTTTTGCTCCTTCCCTTCCAACTTACAATTCCTAGCATCCCTTAGGGGAAAGGGAAGGGCTGCCAAAGCTATTTAAAGCGGTAGGATATATAACATTTCTCTTCTGGAAATGGGAATTGGCAAGTAATGGGGAAAAATAAACCCAGAAGAGACACAGAACATGGTTATTGTTGGTGTTGCTGTTTGCTCCAATAGTAGCTGGATTTGAAAGATTTGATTGAAGGAAAAGAACTGGTAGGAATTTAGAGGAAGTTGATCCAGTATCAGCAGTATATCTGGGGGAGTATATCTCAAACCTACACCAATTGAGAAAATGTATCTTCTCACTACAATTGACCCACCTAACATCAGGAGAGAACTAAGCAAGAGAACAATGTTCAAGTGGAGGCTCTTAGTGGATAACATGCTGTGTGAATGTGGAGAGACATATACCATCTGCTGGTATGTCGGTCTACTACCATCAACACATAACATATAACAATGACTTATTTAGGGCCAAGGTCAAAGCCAAGAAGGTGGCTTCAGAGGAGGAGGAGGAGGAGGAGGAGGAGGAGGAGGAGGAATCTAAGAGAAACCAAGGTCTGACTCTTGGGATGAAGTATCAAAGCTCTGAAAGCCCAACAGGTGAATTCAGAGGGGGAGGATTCAAACCCAGGCTCCATGTGAAATCTTCCTAAAATCAGGCTGAGTTATTTTATTTTAATAATACAGGTAGTCCTCAGCTGATGACAATTCCAGCTGGAATTTTGGTTGCTAAGCAACTAAGTGATGTGGTCGTTAAACGAATCATCACGTGACTCGATCTGATTTTACTGCAGTCATTAAATGAATCACACGGTCATTAAGCGAACCAGCTCGACTTTTCTTGGGGAAGGTTGTGAACACATGACCGCAAAACACCGCAACTGTTGTAAATGCGAGCTGGTTGGCAGATGTCCAAATTGTGATCAGGTGCCCAGAGAGAGGGTGTAATGGTGGTAACTGGAGGAAGGGTGGCAAGTTGCTGTCGTTAAAAGAATGGTAGTAAGTTGAGGACTACCGGTAGTTTGATTAAAGTTTATAATTACAAAGACTGCAACAAACTAGGAAAAATATAGGAAGGAGAGATAATAAATAAATAATTATAATAAAGTTGGAAGGGACCTTGGAGGTCATCTAGTCCAACCCCCTGCTCAGGCAGGAAACCCTACACCATTTTGGACAAATGGCTGTCCAGTCTCTTCTTAAAAACTTCCAGTGTTGGAGCATTCACAGCTTCTGGAGGCAGGTTGTTCCACTGGTTAATTGTTCTAACTGTCAGGAAGTTTCTCCTTAGTTCCAGGTTGCTTCTCTCCCTGATTAGTTTCCACCCGTTGCTTCTCGTCCTGCCTTCAGGCGCTTTGGAGAACAGCTTGACTCCCTCTTCTTTGGGGCAGCCCCTGAGATATTGGAAGGCTGCTATCATGTCCCCCCTCGTCCTTCTCTTTGTTACCCTTTACTCTGTGTGAACCTTTACTCTGCATCGGTTAGCTTTCAACTCAAATTTACCGTTTGGTTAAACCTGGGGATTGGGCCTTTTCCCAGCCACATGAATTACTTCTCTGAACGTTGCTGTCTCCGGGGCACCTCTAGGAATCAACAGAATAACAGAGCTGGAAGGGATCTTGGAGCTATTCTATTATTCCTATCCCATTCTTCTAGTTATTAATTCTGAATAATTCTCTCCAGCACAGCTAGGAATATTACGAACAGCTCCAACTTTCAGAATTCGCCAACCTAGATTTCCTTACGTAGATCCTTTTGAGCCCATAAAATTTCTACTTATGGACGTGTCTCATCAATTAGAGCAGAGCTGGTGGGAGGTACAGCTACTAGAGGACCAATCTGGACCCTCCTACGCACAGTCTTCTGAACTTATGGGAAAGGCCATCCAGGGAGACTTTTTTTGCCAACCCTTGCATTCCAAGTACTGGTTAAAAAAAAAAAAAGCAAGAGAAGATCATAGCAACATTTTAAAAAAATCCAATTTCCTGTGATCAGCAAGCAAGAAACATAATTATTGAAAGAGCTGCTCATACCCCCCCTCTTGCTAACTTGTTTATTGGTCTGACAAAAGTTTGACTGTTACACAAACCAGATGCAGATTAACACAACAGGCCTTACTAAGAAAAAAAATACACGGACACACACACACAAAAAACACCCAGATCCAGAATAGAGAATCTACTGCCCTCTGGTGGTGCACAAAAGATTGTTTCTGAACAAAACACAGCTGGAGACCTGTTGGTTGATTCAGCAGGAGAGTTGTGTTGACATTATTCTGAAAACAAGCAAGAGGTTGATTGGGTATAACAAAGGCTTCTGGCAGACAAAGAAGATGCTAAACTTTTACGGGGAAATGCTAAAGCACACCTACCTAACCCAAAGAAGAATCCAATGAGACCGAATCCCAATTAAACGCTCACTGGTTTGGAGCAAATTCTCTTGGGTTTATGATGAGAGTCACACATTGTGCTTAACCACCATTTATGTACAAGGGACAGCTAGCTAAGGTCACACGCTAAGGACGAGGGGGGACATGATAGCAGTCTTCCAGTATCTCAGGGGCTGCCCCAAAGAAGAGGGAGTCAAGCTATTCTCCAAGGCGCCTGAAGGCAGGACAAGAAGCAACGGATGGAAACTAATCAAGGAGAGAAGCAACCTAGAACTAAGGAGAAACTTCCTGACAGTTAGAACAATTAACCAGTGGAACAACCTGCCTCCAGAAGTGGTGAATGCTCCAACACTGGAGGTTTTTAAGAAGAAACTGGACAGCCATTTGTCCGAAATGGTACAGGGTTTCCTGCCTGAGCAGGGGGTTGGACTAGATGACCTCCAAGGTCATTTCCAACTCTACTACTACTACTACTGCTGCTTTTCTTCTTCTTCTTCTTCTTCTTCTTCTTCTTCTTCTTCTTCTTCTTCTTCTTCTTCTTCTTCTTCTTCTTCTTCTTCTTCTTCTTCTTCTTCTTCTTCTTCTTCTTCTCCTCCTCCTCCTCCTCCTCCTCCTCCTCCTCCTCCTCCTCCTCCTCATTCTTCTCATTATCATTATGGATCATCGCACAGTCAGCCAGATGTTCTTTACTATTATGATGATGATGATGATGATGATGTCTGAACCAAAGCCACAATGCAAAGCCTGGAGCTAATCACAAACTGCCTCCCATGTTTTGTCCCTCTTAATTTGTTGGGGGACAGAAACCTGCCGATCCTTTGGGTAGCTTTCAAGATTATTCAGGGGCAGCAACTGGCCACCAGCCTTACATTTCCCTCGACTCTTGAAGTAGCTCCCTCAAGACATACCAGATGCCTGCAAAAAACATGCCAATGTGGGAAATTTCTCACCCTTTCTTCTCCCTTGTTCATCACAGTATTCCCTCAATGAAGACCACAGTAAGAAGAACTCTACCGGTAATCCTCCCAAACTCATCCAAAGCTACAACTGTCCAACCCCTAGTAAAGTAGGGCGAGGCTGTGCACCCACTGGTAGCAGCGCATCCCTCTGTTCATAACATCCTCTGCCAAGACCCCCAATTTATTAAAGTAACTTTAATTAAATGGCTGGAGGTGAAGTGACAAACTAGCCTCTAGAGCAGGGGTAGTCAACCTTGGCTCTTTTATGACTCGTGGACTTCAACTCCCAGAATTCCTGAGCCAGCATACGAGTCATAAAAGAGCCAAGGTTGACTACCCCTGCTCTAGACAGTTGCCACCATTATCCCTTAAAGGCATTGAAAGTTATTCTTAAAGATAAAAGCAACCAGCGACCACTGATTCACGCTGAAGGATTCCTCCTTTTTATGCACCCCCAAGAAGAGATTTTTTTATTGTTCTCTCAGTAGAGAACTTACAATGCAGTGAAGTAGCAGCTGGTGGTGACCCCAAGTTAGGTAACAAAGAAAAGGGGAATAAAAAGGAGGCTGGGTTTTTACCCACTGGCCAGTGGATTGACCTGAGCACTAACCTAAATATATATTAATCCATAGGACGTGGGCGGATCCTGAAGCATTTAGGCAAGTCTAAATCTGGCAAAGCAGAACCTGTTCTGGATCAGGAATCAACTGGTGAGCTGAGCTGAGAAAGACACAGAGATGGAATACTCTAGGAAAAAACAAAAGGTTTATTGCATTTCATGCATCTTTTAAAAACATGCATCGGCTGAATTGTATACGGTCACCCAATAAATTGCATTTGCATGTCCAAATCTCCTGAAGTCATTCCAAAATAGTTTGAGGGCAACTTTAAAGCCTTTAGAAAATAGGTTTTCTGGTTTTTTCCTGTTAATTTCACACTTGGAAGCTGCAGTTAGCAGCACCTGAATTTGGGACATAAAAAAAAAAGAGAGGAATCCCTCTGCCCATTCTCTCTTACACACACACAGACAGACAGTATGTACACATGTACAGGCTAACACGCGTTCAGATTTAATGATAATAATGTGATATGCGCGGTCAGGGGTGAAACAGGATAAAGATCTTCTGATTTCAAATGTAATGGACGGGAGGACAGAAAAGACAAAGAAAAAATCCCGGACCGCGGAGAAAGGAGAAGGCGTTGCCCTGCCTGGCAGAGCCCTCTATAAAATGCTCAACGTGGAACTACTGAGGAACACAGGATTCAAAAATTTTTATATATATATAAAAAAAATACACATATTGCATTGTAGTCAGTTCCTGTGGCATCCTCTCCTCCCAGCCAACATAAGCAGTTGATGTGATGCTGATCACAACATCTTTCTATCAATGAAGACACACGGTGGGGAGGGAATGGATTAGTTAAAGGCTGCTTCTGGGCTTGATCAGTGGAACATTAATCAAGCCGCTACGAATTCCGCCGCATCAGGAAAGCTTCTGGCTGGAGCTGATCAGTCTCCGGTGACCTGTGGCGCCTGTCCATCCGTGGTCTGATTGGTGGACTGGATGAACATGGGTTGGGTGATATCTTGACCGGCAGGCATAGTCACTTGTTGGATCTGGTAGAGTTGCTGGGAGGGAGGAAGCAAAAAGAGACTTGGGAGACTGTTTCTGGTGGATCCTTTCAAGGCGTGGTGTGCACACTACGCCCTCTTAGACAGAGAGACAGCAGTACAATACATTTACACATTGCTAATGATGTCTATAAACATCTTCCATAATAGTCCTCAAGTGGGAAGAACTCACGACTCGAATCGGAATCCCCTGAACTGCCAGGGAGCATCCAAAACAGGAAACTCCATGCTAGCTCTCTCTCTTTTTTTAAAATTAATTTTTAATACAAAAATACAAAAGTAAATAGTAGGAAAGATGATAAGGGGGGGAAAGGGAAGGGGAAAAGTGTAAGGAAAAGAGGCAAAAGAAAGAAAAAGCATTCACTTCCAACTCCCTTTGGTGCAGTAGAATAAGATACGAGACATCAAACCTCAACTTTTTACTGTTCGTAATAGTATAAATCAGCCATTTCTATAACAGCAAACCTATCTAATCAGTAAAATCCAAAATCAAAGTTTCATTTTTTTCCCACCTCAAGCACGAAGTCCAGAAACAGTTTCCAAGTAGAAACAAAAGTAAAATTGTGGGGTTTTTTCCCCTTTAATCAAAGCAGTCAGTTTAGCCATCTCTACTCCAAGCTAATTCTAAGTTAGCAGAATGAATGAATAGGGTGAACATCGTATAATCCACAGAAGAATGCCTTTAGCTTTTTCCTGTCGGTCAACAACCCTCCCAAGAAACTGGCTTCCTTCAGGAGAAATTAACCATGCCAAGCTGCTCCAGCAACCATCCCTTCGCCCAGCCCCAAATGCAAAGACATCTACCTGTCCATCGGTAAACTGGCTGAACTGCTGCTGCCCCTGTTGAACGTCTGTCTGCGCAATCTGGAAAAGACAGGTATGAATGACAATTTGCAATTCTCCGATCAAGAGGGAAATCAGTGCTTAAAATAAATGCAAAAGAGGAACTGCAAAACGTTAGAGACCGCTTGAATCTCTGGCCTGCCCTTTCTCCTGTGAACGCCTTGCAATTTGTGGTTTTCGTTATTTATTTCCCAAAGGAATTAACCTACCCATGGAAATAAAATATCCCTCCAAAGGAGGTTGAAGGCACTGTCAAAAGTAATATTCCCCAGGATAAAAGGATAAAAGGCTTGTGTGTGTGTTGGACCACTAATGTTCTTTTTGCTGGTGCAATTTGAGACAATGCACAAGCCGTTCAGACAGTCCGTTGAGCAACAGGTCTATTTGCAGATATGGCTGTGAACTTTCCCAAATAAATGGCCTTCAATAAACACGGTCTGAAGTTCCATGACTGTAGAAACTGGGTGACAGGGACACAGATATAATTGAAGGCACACCCTTCCTAAGAAAGTAGACTGTCGGTATTTGTTGGGAAAGGCAAAGAGGAAAAAGGGAAGACAGACAGAGAAAAACAATCTGATTTGATACTAATCAAGGCAGATCCCAGGTTGCAGACAATGAAGCATCCAGATCTGAAAGAGGTGAAGGCTACTCTTAGCCAGGATCTAAACAAAAAGTACTGCTTTTAATGAATGCATTTAGCGGTTACTAAAAAAGGTTTTGCAAAGCAGGGGAAATTAGATACGGCGCCTGAACACAAAGAATGGCAACATGAAGGCTGGCAGGTGGCTCAAACAGAAAAGCTGACCGATAACAAAAGCCTGGGGGGGGGGGAGAGAAAGGAACCAAGTTTCACTAAATTTGCAGAAAGCTGAATAAAGTTTCGAAGCAGGAAAGAGATTTCAGCTTCCAGCTTCCAAACCCCAGGCCTTTTAGCATACTACAGGATTATCTCATTTTTTAACATATGTGAGGCGTTTCTTGAGAATAGTGATGTCCAAGTGGGAGAGGGGATGTCAAAAAAGTCAAGGTGGTAACTGCATCTCCATTTTTGGACACCCCACATAGATGCCCCTGAAACAGAGTGTTTACAAAAACAAAAGGTGATTTGTATTTTTCACAGCTAAGCAAACATCAACGTGTCTGGGCAGATTTACGACAGTAGCTCTGAGCCATATTTTTTTTTTTGGTCCTGTTCCATATGCAAAGGAGAGGGGCTAATACAACTTCTCCAAATAACTGAGGTTTTCTTTTTTAAAAAAAATGGGTGGGGTGGGGGGGAATAGTCAGCAAAATTCAAGATCAGAACCTCCCGCCACTCCTGATTTCAGTGGTTATATATATCTGGAGAAATCCATTCCTTTCTCAAAAGGTCAGGGGTATTTCAACAGCTCTTCTCAAGAAACCTGGGAGGTCAGCTGGTACCTGCTGCGTGTTGGCTGCAAGCGTCTGGATCTGGCCCTGGACCACCTGGGTTCCAGACACAGGCTGAGCTAAGCGGATATACTGTAGCTGGCCAGCGTTAAGTTGGACCTAGAAACAGCAGGAGGGAGAAAGAGGACACAAAATTGGTCACCAGAGATGCACGGAGAGATTATACAGGAAGATGACATAGTTAAGACCAAAGATGTAACCATAAACATATGTGCTTGGGGTAGGAAAGTGTTTCTTCCTGCTATCTTAGCTTCTGGTTTTCTTTTACGGCAGCTGTAAGTATAAATCTAAATTAACTTGATGCTCTAGGGCCGTGGCGGCGAACCTATGGCATGGGTGCCAGAGGCGGCACTCAGAGCCCTCTCTGTGGGCACGCACACCGTCACCCCAGTCCTAGGCCTTCAGCTGGGTTTTATGAAACCCTTTCGCTTTAAACCTCCGCCGCCGTGTGCAAAAAAAAAAAGTTCAACCAATCAATCAATTTCAACTTCTCACGGGAAAAAAAAGAGATCTCGCAAAGTTGGAATTGACTGATTGAACTTTTCAATTCCCACCCAGTCTGCCGTTAACACCGCAGCCACGCCCACCCAATGGGCCACACCCACCCAATGGGCCACACCCACCCGGCACCCGACGGTACATAAGTGGGTTTTGGGTTGCAGTTTGGGCACTCGGTCTCTAAAAGGTTCGCCACCACGGCCCTAGGGTCACACCTTTCATTTTTATTTCTATAATCTACTGTACATTTTTGCGGTTCATCAAAACCATAAATCACAACTTCCAACAGTGTAAAGACTTTGGGATGAAATTAAGTGGAAACTTGAATGAAGGACTCCCACGGTGTACGTATCCACACTTCTTTTTCAAACATGAAAAATAATTCAATGATTAATGCACATCCTGCCCCATCATGACATTTCACACCCCCCCAGAATTGTGCCACCAAAATACGATGTCTAATCGCTGATTTTCAGCGACATAATGACGTTAAAAAAAAGAAAAGGTAACAATGGTATTTTAAAAAGTGAAGATGGAGGCATTAAATCTGGTGTATGCTTAAGGCAATGATTTTGATGCCAGGAATCTCAAACTATCCCCTTTGGTGATGTTATGGTGTGACTGTTGGATCTCTCAGGTCCTTTAAAAAGTGCAGCATCCCCCCCAAAAATGCTTGCTTGGCTCTGTTTTAGAACAACCTCACTACATTTAGAGATAGTTAACCTCCTGCCCGCCCTGCTGTATTTATACAAAACACAATTATATTGTGCTCAGGACAGCATCTTTTAATCAAGGAACAGGTGGGGAAGATCTTTTAGACAATCTGTCATTGATGCTCCAAATCTCCTCGAGCAGAAATTACAGCCTTTTGGACCTTGTCCCTCCACTGATTTCTCTTAACATGTGGGATTTTTTTCTCTCCCCAAATAACCAGTCCCTGAAGGCAAAGGGCAGCCCACCCCTGTTGCAAATACATACTTTCTGCAAGCAAAAGCTCCTTTACAGCTGTCTTTCTGCAGGAGGCTGAACTATGCCTGCAGGGAGAAAAAACTGTTTGCAAGCAGAGAGAGAGAGGCCCTGGTTAGACTTTAACTAGAATAACTAACTTAAAATGGACAACGCAGACATTAAGGGCTTAGACTTACTGCTCTGGTGCACACCACCGTAGAACGTCTGTCTGGGAAACCACTTGTTAAAGATAAGAGTGGAAAAGCTGGAAGGGTCAGTTTGGAGAGAGACCTTCAGAACCGGCCCGATTGTGAAAATAAGCATGGAATGTTTTGCAAGTATCTGTGCGGCCCTGGTGATTGTGCGACTTTAAAATGTTAACTCAGACTAATACCACTTTACAAGGCCTTGGTAAGGCCACACTTGGAATACTGCATCCAGTTTTGGTCACCACGATGTAAAAAAGATGCTGAGACTCTAGAAAGAGTACAGAGAAGAGCAACAAAGATGATCAGGGGACTGGAGGCTAAAACATATAAGGAACAGTTGCTGGAATTGGGGATGTCTAGTTTAATGAAGAGAAGGACGAGGGGGGACATGATAGCAGTCTCCCAGTATCTCAGGGGCTGCCCCAAAGAAGAGGGAGTCAAGCTATTCTCCAAAGCGCCTGAAGGCAGGACAAGAAGCAACGGGTGGAAACTAACCAAGAAGAGAAGCAACCTAGAACTAAGGAGAAACTTCCTGGCAGTGAGAACAATTAACCAGTGGAACAACCTGCCTCCAGGAGCGGTGAATGCTCCAACACTGGAAGTTTTTAAGAAGAAACTGGACAGCCATTTGTCCGAAATGGTGTAGGGTTTCCTGCCTGAGCAGGGGGTTGGACTCGATGACCTCCAAGGTCCCTTCCAACTTTATTATTATTATTATTATTATTATTATTATTATTATTATTATTATTATTATTATTATTATTATTATTATTATTATT